TAAGTATGGAGTATAATCAATATGGAGCATCCAAAATATGATGTGTGAACTAGAAAGAAAGGACAAAGTGAATGGGTGTGTGCATTTATATAGAGATTTTTATTATTTTTATTATTTTATAATATTTATTATTAAAAAAAACACGATGTGAATGTTATTTGTAGTGCGTGAAATTATATAAACATGGGTATTTCCCTATGTAAAATCTTCGTTTAACGAATATATCGATGACCGGTCCTTGTATAAACGACAACCAATGTCAAGCATATCGCTCGCAGCAGAAAGTCAGACGTCGAACGTCGTGGGGTCCACCTACGTCTTTCAAGTTCCTATAGGAGCTCAATTTAAGTTTCAATATGTCGGCTTTTCAATCAACTCGATCGAATGTTGAGGATCTAAAAAAACTGTGTATATGAAACTGCAAGGAGCGAAGAAATGACTTAAAATTCTAAGTTGTGTGGGTCCCAGTCTAGTCCTCTAAGAGAGTCAAAATAGAAAAATCTTAAGGCTAGATCCTAGGATATCTAGAGAATGGGGATATCTAGAGAAAGAGAATGGAAGACCTCAAAATGAGGTCAATACACCTTCACCCAAGGAGACCCCCAAAGCGATGATGCCTAAGATTTCCTTTCTCTCATTGGAGAAGCCAAAGAGTGAGCCAACCTGTGCAATCAAACGATTAGTTTTGAGTCTAATCTTATCGAACATTAACTTGAACAAAATTTTCATGGAGCTTTAGATATTGACCAAGATACTGCCCACTTGGTAAATGTTGATGAGTTCAATAACAAATACAACATCGCAGCAGGGATTTTCCTTCGGGGGCAAATCTGTGTCGGTAAAGATAAAAGGTGGATGGCTGCATTTTTGGATTGAGGTAACTGTGCACACACCTCCATCTAAAACCTCTTTTGACTAACTTGTTTGGATGAATCTTCACCTCTTTTAAAGATGGTTGACATTATCTCAATAATGTGGATGGCGTTCGCACTGATATGATTGTTCAAAATCTCTTTCATTGGAACTTTAACATGTCGTCGGGTGTGTGCTTTAACAACTACAAACTACTTGAACATTCTCGCATTTATCAAATCTTTGACAGACTCTAGAGGTGTCGACACTCCTCCGTGTTATGACCGTGGTCTCAGTGGTAGGCACAGTACTTGATGGTGACTTAGAAGAAAGCTTTTGCTACCTTCTTGAAGTGTTATTTGTTCTGGATGGACTCCAATAGTTCTACCATAGAGACCCCAATGGAGTCATTCTCGGTGTCTCATGATATGCGAGCAACTACTCATTGTAATATGACGGTCGTTGGTCAAGATATCAAGCTTGACCCATATAGTTGTTATTACTGTTGGCCCTCCTGTTGTCTCAAGATGACTAATCATTTTTATAGCGCAAACAGGGAAAAGTATGTGGACCATTCTTCGGTATCCACTTATTATCCTGCCGGGCTGTCTTCTACTGGTGACGGTCGGATGGTTATGCTTTGGGATAGGAGGAAATGATGACGTATTCATTAGCCATATTGTGACTGTCGGCCAAATACAACAAACAACCAAGGCTCTTTGGCTTGTGCAAGCCCAGGGCATATTTGAAGCGCTACCCTCTCGTCCCTTGCCCCAGGGTGTTAGGTTCCAGATCCTATTCCCTCAGCATCTCCTTTTGAAACTGAGTAATGTATGAGTGGAGGATCTCTTTCTACCCTTTCCTAATCTACAACAGGGCATGTGATATTTTATGTGTCTTCATAGCATTGTCAAAATGCACCACAAACATCCTCTTAAAATTAGAGAAAAAGGCTATCACTCCCTCTAACATGCCATTAATCACTCGAGTGTTGTATCCCTTAGTGTGGTGAAGAACATCCAACACTTCGGCGGGTCACTAATTTTCAGCATACAGATTGCTGACTCAAAAGACCCATGTGGTCGATCGGACATGATTCGAGATTGGGAGTCTTGAACTTCCTTGGAATTCACAACCTTAGAGATTTGTTGAAAGAATGCATTTTCTGGCTGTCACTGTCGTCGTGCTTCAGTACTCCTAAACTTATGTTTTTTTATCGTTGTCGACCAACACTATCAACATATTAGTCGGACCTGAGCTATCTTCTGATCATTGGGCGCCGATGCTTCTTCCCGAGGTTTCGACTCGCGAGGTTGTAACTCTAGAGGTTGTTTTTTTTGTAGTCGCTGCTCCAAACTCCAAGTTACTGCGTCTTATATGGTCTCCACCTGACTCATCATCTGATCCTTCAACTCTTTGATTTGTTGCTAAAATTATTGCTGCACAAACTCCCTAGTGTACTCTATTGCTACTGTGCTTCTTTTATGTGATCCTTCTCCTTGTTATGCTCTATTTATCATCAGTGACATGATCTAGGCTCACCGAACCATTTAGAATGTTGAATATAATTTTGTCTAGTGAATCACACCTTGAGGGACAAAACAATAGCTGAAGAGAGAGAGAAAGAAAAAAAAAATTAGAGAGCGAGAGAGCAAGGAAAAATGAATAGTAATAAGCCAATAATGTGTTACCATTTATTCATAAAATAATACTCTATTTATAGACATATGAGGTATGACATAATGAAGTTACATTTGTGCCCCTACTTAAAGGGGGGCTGTACAGGTTATTTTGAATATTTTATACATGTGGGGCCTAGGATTAGATTACTCTTAGTTAAGCTGGTACGAGCCGAAGAAGCCTAGTCCAAATGTTGTTGATCGACTCATTTGGGTGGTCGTTGCCAGTCGGCGTGGTTGATCCGATCGGTTTGTATCTACTGCTTAAATGACTTATGTTAACTGTTAGCTTTTGGCTCTCGTTGGAGATCTCCTGTCAACATGGTGGAACTAGACTATTAGACAGAGGACGAATTACTGACATCTAATAGATATTCTTTCCTCTAAGATGAAAATGTCTTGTGGAACACCCAAGTCTTATCATGCTCAACATTTATGGTATTTCATAGAGATTCCTGGATATCTTTGTTATGATTGTAGGATCCGAGTGATTGACTTCGTTCTCGGGTTGGAGTTGTCGTCGTAAGTGCTCTTGGACTATTATTTGCCTTACGCTTGGGTGAACCACTCAGACTTAGACCACCGAGCGTCCTTTTATGGCTTAGACGACTGACCCTTGAATGTTGCATGCCCGGTCAGCTTTTAGTCCTGACTTTGGGAAGTTACATTCAATTTGATAGGTACTATGAGTTCCTTGATCTTTGAGAGTGGGATCCTTTGCTTGTGATGCTCCACCGCAGGACTCATGGATTTCATCAAAATTCGTGCTGATAAGTTTTAGTCCATTTTTGAACCAACAATTCCATGCAATTTTCCCGAACTTTTATTTTGATTACACGGTCATATGCTGGTCGTCGGTTCGGAGCAATATGGTCGATTCTACCCTGTTCTACTATACTAGCTGAAGTATATCCTCCCACGCATGCGAAGCCCGTTCGCCAATGCCCTCCTTGCGCCATTCGCCACTTTCGCTGCCAGTGGGAGCTTCACCGGAAAGAAGGGTTGGCGCCCTTCGAGCTATATTGCCGCCTTATACTGAGACCAGGAAACAAAGCCCATTATCATGGCCAATGCCCTCCCAGTCATTTCACACTCTTCCCTACCTTTCTCCCTCGCCTCTAAACCATCGAATCACTCTTGTCCTCTTCCAGCCAACTTTGCCACTCTACCCATTACGCCTCTAGGCAAAACCCGGTCGTTCTCTACAACTCTTCCCCGCGCCTTGTCTTCTCTTTCTTCCTCTTCTCCTTCCCCTTCCTCGAAACCCGTTATCGATTGTATGCAGGCGAGTTTTTTTTTGTTGTTGTTGTTGTATGCTTGGGTTGCCTCCTTGCATGATGCATGGAAGTTGTTTCTTTATTTTCATGGCCTGATTTCAGGAGAGTCTGAGGCAAGTCAAGGACATCAGGTGGAGGGATGTCTTGAACCTTAACAGTTGGGTCGTGCGCGATTACTACCGTCTTGTCAGCTCCGTGAACGCCCTAGAGCCTCGTATTTGGGTGCTTTCTGATGAACAGGTTTGTTGTATGTCCTTATGTTACCAACATCAAGGGCTTCAGGCAAAAGGAGTGCTTTGAATCGTCTTTGTACATTTTCTGGCTGTTTTTATTGTAGTTGAGAGCAAAGACTGTGGAATTCCGCTTTCGTTTGAGCAAAGGGGAAACCCTCGCTGATATTCAAGCTGGTTTGTTTGAAAACTTCCCTCCATTTTCACTTGGCCGTGTTTCCTTTTCCTAATTTTTCCATCTCCATTAGAGGCATTTGCTGTGGTTCGGGAGGCCGCAAGAAGGAAGCTTGGTATGCGGCACTTTGATGTCCAGGTGTTTTGACTCTCTTTGGATATTTAGAATCTTCTTGGCTTATGATGGAATCAAGTTGACTGTGTGCACTTTTGATTTAAGATCATTGGCGGTGCGGTTCTTCATGATGGGTGCATAGCTGAGATGAAGACTGGTGAAGGAAAGACTTTGGTTTCTACATTAGCAGCTTATCTTAATGCTCTTACTGGCAATGGAGTTCACGGTACGTTCTTTTGAATAGTTGTATATGGACATTTTGGCATCTGAAATGCATGAATACTGGTATCGAGAAATACCTTGCTGACTCAATTCCGTGAAACATTTTGATGATGTTATCTGGTAAGATGTGTTGTAAAGGATATTTTTTTTTTCAGAGCTTAGGAATCAGTTGGGAATGCCTTCCAGTTGTGCGTTATTTTTCACCAAAAAAAAAAAAAATGATAATTTTGATTTATTTGGAGAAAGTCTAAAGGAAAGTTTTATATTGCATGTCCATCTCCTCCATGGCTTCCCTGCCATGAAAAATCAAATTTGTGGGGCAAATTATGCCTCTAATAAAACATCATAGCAGTGTCAGATGAACTTTGTAGTTAATTGCTAGTCTTTCTTCATCAGTGCATCTGTTTTACTCCATTATTTGTTTTACAGTTGTCACTGTAAATGATTACTTGGCTCAGCGTGATTCTGAATGGATGGGCCGCATTCATAGATTTCTTGGTCTTTCTGTTGGCCTTATTCAGGTGTCCTTTGTTTTGACAGTGCTAGCAGAAAAAAAAAATGTAATTTTGTGGCCTTAATGCTATTTAAACTTGTAGAGTGGCATGACTTCTGCGAAGAGAAGATCAAGCTATAGTTGTGACATAACATACAGTAATAATTCGGTAAGTTGACAGCACAAAATATTCATGATTATTACACTTATTGATCATCTTCGAGCAATTCTATGATGAGCTGCTATCATTTCTGTATGAGCTTATTGTATGTGAATTTTGTTGGCTGTCCGTTTTGTCTTTTTTTTTGAGGCATAAGTACAGTTTGTTGGTTACATCCTGTTATCTTGTTTTAAATAACTCTTCTTTATTGAATCCTTCAAGACTTTTGAACCAGAAATCCTTATTCATGGGTAGTTTTATCCTTTCAAATAACTGATGTCTAACCTTTTAGTGCAGCTTATGTTCGAGGCACTAACAGCACTTTATTTACATTTTTCTGGTCGATTTAGCTGGATTTTTTTTTGACTGCTTGATTGGGATCTTGTTTGGATCGTACTACGCCACTATTGATTTAATTGCACAGGAACTTGGTTTTGACTACCTCCGGGACAATCTGTCTGGAAATAGAGCAGACCTTGTAATGCGATGGTATTATTACTTATCTTATGAGTTTATTTCTTGATGTTTTAAGATTGAACTTACAACATTGAAAGCAGGCCAAAGCCATTTCATTTTGCCATTGTTGATGAAGTTGATTCAGTCCTTATTGATGAGGGGAGGAATCCATTATTGATAAGTGGAGAGGTTTTTTTTTTCTCTGTAATTTGTATAATATTTTTGTGGTTATCATATCAATTTCAATATTGGTTGATTTGAATGAACAGGCTAGTAAGGATGCTGAACGCTACCCAGTTGCTGCCAAAGTTGCCGAACTTCTTGTACAGGGAATTGTGAGTGTCAATTTTTTTCTTCTTTAGTCAGATGAATTTGTGCTTTAACAGTTATTACAAATATCTTTTCTTTCGATTATGGTGGTTTTGTTATTTTTGTGGCATTTATTGTGATGGAAGATGACTTCATTTGCAGCATTATAATGTGGAACTGAAAGATAATTCAGTTGATTTGACTGAAGAAGGGGTTGCTCTCTCTGAAATGGTTCTTGAGACGAATGATCTGTGGGATGAAAATGATCCATGGGCCAGGTTGATGCAATATCTTTACTGAACTGAATTTATGTCTTTGGTATCCTCTGGTCTCTTTGAACAGAAATTCAATATCCTCACACCATTGGCAAGCTGAATTCGTGAATTATATTCATTTTATCATGACACATGTAAATCCTACAATTGAAGTTTTTGATTTTTTTTCTGGGTCTTTAATTGTTGTTGCCTATCTGGCTAGAATTTGCCACATTACTACATCTTTTGAGTTGATTTAAAAATGCTCGGAAGTGAACCCAGTTCTCCTGCTTGAAACCAATGTGCTAGGATTGATTAAAACATATATTGGTTTGTTTGTACGTGCCACTTCTATGGAAACGAAGCAAGAAGAAACTTAATAAAAGGTCGTCTGAATCACTTGTTTTGAAAATAAGTTAATAACAGCACGGCTAATTTTTCCTCAGATAGAAGCAGTACTTAACTTTAGTAGACATAACTTCAATTCTGTATAAGTTGGTATTTATTAAGTAAAGAGTGTTTTTTGAACAAATTATTGTTTCATTTATTGAATACTTTTTTTTTACAGATTTTTAATGAATGCTTTGAAGGCCAAAGAGTTTTATCGACAGGATGTTCAATACATTGTTAGAAATGGGAGGGCACTTATAATCAATGAGGTAATTTCTACTCACACATGGCATGCGATTATTTATATTTATTTCCAATTGATATTTTAACTTTGGTTTGGCGGTCTACAGGTCAGATCCTCTTATTTTTATTGTGAGAAAGAGATATTATTTATTTATTTTCTTTATAATTGGGACATTTAAGTTTCCGCTGCTCCAGCATTTTTTAAAACCAAGTAGAAGTCAACAAGTATAGTTTCATCTTCTATTACCCGCACCTGCAAAGGGATGAGGATTCCTTAATTTACAAGGTATATGTTTCATTTCGTTTCTAATTTACAAAATGCTTTTTCTTGCACCTCTAGGAAAACTATTGACATAGAGGCCCAATCACTCTATTTGAGAGCTCCAAAGTGAATACTATGATTAAATTTGGAGAAAAAAATTAGGAGCACTCACAAATATGATATAGAATAATAAAAATAATGATATAGATAATAGCATTATTATTTACACAGTTTGATCATGAATGACCTACACTCATAGGTTAAGGGAGCATAAATGGTTCACTATTCAAGTTTATGGGTAGAGTAGAAAATAAGAGAAGTCACAAACTTATATTAAATTTTTTTCATTTAAAACTAATAAGGAGAATATCCAAGAAGATTCATTAAATTTAGGAGGAGCTTATCTCAACAGAAGGCCCAAGGGAAGGATAGATTAATTCTTCTCTTATCAAATTTTCGAGCAAAAGAAGCATGAACAACCAATCCTCAACAATAGAAAACAATCACACTCAATTCTCCCTACCCCTCTACTTGACAATTGAAGAAAGCTACAACCATTTTTGTCTCTCTATTCTATTCATGGAGACGATGACATAAACCCTTACTTCTTCCCCCTGTCTACTCAGTTTCTCTTTTGCACTATTATGCCTCACTCTTATTGTTAGCACTTTTAATTGCATTTTGAGGAGAAATTGCCAAACATTACCCTTACAAGAGAAGTCATTGATACTCTATGTGAATAGAGGAAACCAAAAGTTCAAGTCGGTCAAGGGAGCGAATTTAAAAAAAATTGTCAGTGAAGGTTTGATATAATTTTAACAAATTCTCCATAACAAATTGGTTAACTGAGTCATTGTCAAACTACACATCTCCTCATTCAGAACCCCAAAAGGCATTAACAATTACTCAAATCAACCAGCCTTTGACATTTCTTGATCTTGTGAACATGGATTGGTAAGCAAGTCAATAGGATTGTGTTTTACGCAGAAGTGACACTAAATGTTAAAATAATTTATTTTCTCATAATACATTTGGATTTTTTGGCCAAGTGAATAATACTTTAAATCTTACAAAAAATCACATAGTTTTCTTATTGTAAATCGAAAGTATTTAACCAAACCTCTTTACTAACCTTTTTTATAGCTTCAGTTTCGTGCCATATACTTTCTCTTTGTATTGCATAAAGTATTTGTATACTAAAAATAATTCTTTCAATTGGTGTCACTGCTGAAGAGATTCAAAACATATCCATTATGTCACCCCTCATCATGATCAACATCATAATCTGAGTTAAAGTATTCGACCTTATTATAATCATAATTTTCCTTGCCATACACCAAAACAAAACCTGTAGTGCCTCTGAGATATCTATAAATTTTACTGCTCTGCAGTGAACTGTCACGCCCTATGATGGCCCCTCCTGGTTAAGATATAACAAAGGTGATTATGACTCAATTGATTGAAGGTCTTTTTTATTGCCAGTTTTTTCATTGTTTTATTTTTTAGACTGCCGCTACATTTTCATATGGCCACTATTTTTTGTTGTTTTTAAAAATATTTTGTGACTGGAATATGCTATTAAAAATCAAATCTACTAAATTATGACAGTTATTGTTTGTTTTTTTATAAAAAAATATTTATAATACCACACCAGCTTTCAAAAATTGCTTTCCCACAACAACTTTAAAACTATATTTACAAAAAGCTACGGATGCCATAAAATCATTCCGAATCTTCCATTAACATCCATTCTAGCACTTTACTATCATAATAGATTTGTTAAACTCAATCATCTGAATGATTGAAATATAAAATATCATACAATTTCTAACTCATAAATATTTAATTAATTAATCTAAATTAATTGAAAAAAAACATCTCAAAATTTCATAAATTTTTAAATATCAAAGTTGATTTACATAGCATCAAATTTTTATTAATCATATATACATACTAAAATAATTAAGACTATACATCAAACTATTGGATAAGTGATTCAAAATATCTTCAATACTTGGGCTTACCCTTGTCTTTCCTTTGGCCTAAAACCAACACTTTGGACATAAGAGAGGTTCAAGGTTTAACTATTTAACCGAGATTTAATCAGATGATGTAATAAATTATAAAATTATTTTAATATGATTTAAATGATGTAATAATAATGTATTAATGATATTTTCACCTAGAAGATTTCTATTCATCTGATCAAAATCAAAATTAAAAAAGGATCAATACTAGAATCAAGTGAGTTTTTTAAAATCAGATTGGTTCACCATTGTAGCTAATTCTGCACAAAAGTTATTTTTGACTTTTGATCGAATTGGCTAGAGAATAGGCTTGCAGTTCAACCAACCTGTTTGATCCAATATTTAAAAATATGTCTAAAATAATTACAAAGTCGATATTTGTTAGCTATAAAACTAGACAAGATAAGCAATTTTAGTATGGGATTCAAGTATTCAGTGAAAAGAACCAGCATGGCATGCTAATCATTAACTTGACATTAGGATTAAAGTCATCAAAATAGACTAGTTCTGCGTAAATCATTATAAAGGGAAATTACTAATAATATTGCATAACAACAAATGAGATATTTTTACTGAAGAAAACTTTAAAAGAGCGAGCCAATTTTCAATCACAATGTATACAATGCTTATCGAGGCCAAGCGTACAAGTGTCAACATAATGGACAAATCTTTTTATAATATTTATTTCTTAATTTGAAATGTCTTATTTTAATCTTATAATATGTCATGTAGGCATGTTTAAGTTTATTGTCTATTGTAAGGTAGTGAATTGTATCAGATGCAGTTCATATATCATAGGATTGAAAACCTAACCCAAAAGTTACTTCATAAAATTCAATAAAAGTTCAGTGAAACAAAACATTATCAATATTAAACTATTTGAGGATCATTTTTCTTCCATGAAGGCTTACCTTTGCAGCCCCTTTTATACATTTATCATAAATGTATTATTATCAATCTATCTAATATAACTTCAATTTCTGAAGCACATTACATTTTCATTAATGAATAGTTAAATTTATATACTATTCATCTTTAACATGCAAATCATTTAAGTGCGTCAATCTATAAATCATAAGTACTATGATATGATATGAGACATATTTCCACAAAAAAATTAGGGCAAAGCAGATTTCTTTCTTTGATAACAAACAGCACAACACATAAAGGATAAAATCCTACAATTTGAGAGGTAGACGATCTCTTCCAAGTCCTACAATTCGAGAGGTAGGAAATCTCTCGGAATAGTACTATTATATGAAATAATAATAAATAACAAAAGACTAAATTGCTCTTAGGTGCACAAAAGAAAACATTGCTTTGAGGCACTGACGTAACAATGCTCTCCCTCCAAAAAGATTCATTGCTCTTTAGGCGGGAAAAAAATGAAACTATTGTTAGATCAAGTTGTTTGACTTCTGCTATAAACTGACTTGAGTTTGGTTTTCAAAGCTAACACAGATACACTCATGATACCCTTCTTGGTCATCATTTCTCCCACTGAGAGTCATCTTACAATTTCTTTGTCCACTGCTATACAAGCAAAATTATCACCCATCACGAACTTTCGGTAATATTCCGTAAGTCCCATAAACCTTCATAATTTCTTCCAATTCTTAGGCAGTGACCACTCCAATATAGCTATCACTTTCGATGGATCCGCCGACACCAAGGTCTTGCACAAACTAGAGTTACTATGAAGCACCACCTTTTTCGCCTCCACCTTAATCTCCATAGTAATGGATTTTTCAATATACCCGCGTCTCTTTGATCGTATATAGTCATTTCATTCCCAAAATCACATCAATATTTTCTAAGTCCAAGGGAAGGAAATCCTCCACCATCTATATATTCTGTAGTGTCAATACCAATCATCTGTAAATTCCCCGACTTTTCTCCACTTTCTCTGTCCCAATAATAACCCTAGTTCTTCCTGTATCCGCCACTTTCAACCCCAACCGGTCCACGTCTCTATTCAAGATGAAGTTGTGAATGACCTCACTATCCACGAACACTATTTCGTTTGCTCCCTGACATGTCCTCGCACCTCCATAGTGTGATTTGAAGTAAATCCCAACACTGAGTTGAGAGACACTTCTACTGCGTCCAAGTGTAAATACTCTCCCTCCACCGTTTCTTCCTTCGACTCACTATCTGCCACCCCTTCACAAACAAAAAGGACCTGGAGTATGCCATTCTTGCACTGTTGGCTTGGGGAAAACTTCTCATCACATTGTAAAAATAATTACTTGGTCTTTTGTTCTGTAAAAGGACCTAGAGTATGCCATTCTTGCACTGTTGGCCACATTGTAAAAATAATTACTTGGTCTTTTGTTCTGCAACTCTGCCTCTGTGAGGTGTTTGAAGTTAACCCCGGGACGGGCCCCCATATTCCTCTCCTTCAATATCTCCTTCTGAAATGACATCTTTTGGTTCTTCGCTGTCATGTTTGTAGAGGTACTCTTGTGGAATCCTCCCACGGTGCCACTTTTGCTGTTCTTCTTCATCTGTTTATTGTCTTCCACAATATGGGTGAGTTCCACCGTCTCTCTTAATCCTCGCAGCCTCAATAGTTAGAATACTGCCCGTATGTTGGGCTTTAGGCTTTTCATGAAGTTCCCTCTAATCCTGCTTCAAAAATCCCCCCTCAGCCGTCCTGACAATAACTCGAATATCTCTATTTATTTCGTGACAGTCCTCTCTTGAGTCCAGACATAAAATTACTCGTATAGGTATC